ATGCAACATCACGCTACATTCTAGTTCAACTACATGATTGTGGTCAAGTCATCCACTTGGCTATGCTAAAGAATGCTCTAACTGTAAAGACAGATTATCAGACATCAGTATGACTATTATAACTTGGTCTGTAAATCAGCTGTCATCATAGCTTCTACGGATTCATATCAGAGCTTCAAACATAAACAAACAAACCCCAACTCCTTATGACAGCCATTCTGACCTAAAGGTCAGATTAATCTCATATTAATCTCAAAAGGGAGTTAATACCATTTCCTTTAAATTGCAGCTTGCAAAACAAAAAATTAGGGATGCAAACGGGATGGTATAGATCACATAATGGAACTGTGGAAAAGCACGTGACTGAACTCACATTCCAGGATCCCCTTCTAATTCTTTAGGCATTACACTGCACTTCTTTGCAGGAAGATGGCATCCTCAAAAAAGAATAGATACTTTAGATAATAAAGTGTTTACTGTACAACCAGGAAATAATGGCAGGGAGACAAGAAAGAACATCAAGTTCTCCTCTAACATTCTTGGCTTTTTTTATTATTTTCATTTGTGGTTAAATTTAATATTCCTAAAAACAGCGGCCTTGGAGGCATCAGCCAGCTGGGTCCAAGCATTTCACAAGAAGAATTAAGCAAGTTTCTTAGCATAGCCCTGCAACAGTCTTTCCAGAGTATGCCTGGCTGAAGCTTGCTGTTGTGAGCACAGCAATGCTAAACTGGAATTAGGCAGACTGTTCAAAAAAGGACTAAAACCACCGTCAAAAGGGACATGAAATGGAATTGTAGAGTCCTCAAAGCGTGAGCAGAATTCACCACTATCCTCTGCACAGAAACCACTGGTGTAAGACAGCGCTCTGTATCCATAGTGTGCTTTTCACCCAGTTTACTTTCTCCTTATACAGTTCATACTGTTAGTTGAACAGCTTCAACTGTATTTACGAATCAAGTCAGGGGACAAGGAACTATTTCTTCTCCATCTGACTTGCCCAGAAACTTATTCTCACTTTCATCTGTCTCTGATGCTTGAGCTGTGGAAAAATATACTTGGAGCACACATCACTGTAGAAAGACGTTTTCCAGTGATGCACTTGCTTATTGATTAACAGACCTAATGACAATTAAAGGGTGCTTACATGCAGCATACACCCCTTTGCTTTCTACACTTGACACACAATCCAAATATCCAGTATTATCAAAAAAGTTTCAACTTCCCATTAGCCTACTGCAAGTTAGTGTCACAAGAACCACAGTATCATTTTTGCTTGAATACTGATATTTACAGGAAAATTATGAAGTCTGTTATTAAGAAAGAGAGACCAATTTATGAACAGGCGGTGGTAAGCTGAGGGACAGAAAGTCGTAAGTGTTTTACAGGAACAAAACAGCAGCTGTGGTAACAGACAGACAAGTGAATTTCAACCCTACTATCTAGTCTCTGGATTAGTTATTTCTATTACCCAAACCTGTTCCACCCCAACTTGTTTCCCCTTTCATTCTGTGTTATTCTCAGAAGGCAGCAGACAGGTCTGCAACAGTATCTAATGTAACTGAATGTTCTTGTACTGTCAGGTATTTAAATCAATTTATCACTAAGCAAATCCTACAGAAAGAATTTGACATGCTGTATCAAATACCCCTGTCAGTATTCTCCATGACTCCCTGGGATTAACAACTGTTCTCACCTCTCCACATTAGTTAGCGTGTCACAGGAAGCATACCCCCACTTCAAATCAATGACCCAGTACCTCACCCATTACTGTAACTGCTGTGTGAGATTAAGGCCATGCTGCAAACAAAAAAAATCAGGCACAGGAGGCAGGGGAGGTGATGTTAACACACATGAACTTGGCTGCATGGGACAGAAGCGCTGGGTTTGATTGCCCCAAATCTTACGGGAAGGTTTCTCACTGGTTTCCTTCAGAGGAATTGTGATTTCCAGGATTAACGAAGTTAGCAAGAGCTGCAGCACAGTCCTAAGAAACAACGCAGCACAGCGATGCTATTATGCAGCTTCCTTTAACAGGGGAATCACCTTGAATATGGTGACACTCTTGATTTATTACTTCTAGTGGGAAGGAGAGGAGAGGCAAGGCTGAATTGTTGAACTTGCACATGAGGCTATACGCAAATAGATAAGGTAGGATTTTAGGGCAGTATTTGTTTGGCTGTTTAGCTTTTGAGGCTATGGTTTGCAACAAGTTCCTCCAGTTTTAACACAGGAGGAGTTAACCAGCTTGTGAGACATGGGAATGTTTCAGCAAATTCACTGTAGGACACAAACAATCGCAGCTTGGAAAACATCAACTGCAGTGACACAGAAGCGCCACGCACTGCCTCCAAACTTTGATCAAGGGCACAATCTGACCAGAGAGCCCTCCAGGAACGACAAGAAGGCACGTACACTAGTAGGTGGCAGATGCTGACAGGCATATAACCAGAGGGGTCCCAGTGCCACATACCATGGTCCATGGGGTTTGAATACAACTATTTCTCAGCTGCTCTCAAATGAGGCAAACTCAAGTGAGATTTGCCAGCGCTAGGTGAAGGTTGTAACATTGTTCCAGTAAGAATACCCCTGTAAATCAGGGGTCTGCAGCTTCTTCTGATGTGTGTATCTCTAGAAACTTCCACTGGGAGTGTGGACTGCCGTACAGAGGATGTAAGCCTCCGGGGAGTGTACCTGGCTTTCGCACGAGTCTGGCTGATGCCCTCGTGACAGTCAACAGACTCCTTCCCACCCGCCCAGCTCTGCCCCATATATCCCAACCTCCTTATGGTTGAAGGCTCAAGAAGTCTGACAGCAAACAGCCCTTGAAATTCACACTTAAGCCAGAGAGGCCTTCAGCTTCCACCCTGAATCAAGGGTTACAGCCTGACATGCTGCAGGAGAGCCCTCCTCTAACTGCGGCCAGCTCGCGGGGACTGTGAAGACAGCCCTAAGCACGCAGGAGGGACTTAACCTGTAGGGGGAAGAAACAGCACCAGGTGAGGAACTGGTAGAACTGAAGTACCAGAGAAACCATAAACAGCATGACCGAAAGGTCCAGGTGGTAAAACAGATGCCATCGTGCATGACATCAGCAAACAGATTCAATAAACCTGACAGAAACGTGTCATTGCAAGTTTTGCAAAGCTTTTGCCTACAGTCTCCAGTTCCTGCACCCGCCACCACGTACACTTTGAGAAAAAAAAAAAAAAAAGGTGGAAATCTGAGATATCTGCAGCAGGCAATTCTGTACTGAAAGTGAATTATATCTTTCTGAAAAAAAATCCAAGCTGCACTATATAAAATAACTTCTTCCTGACTAAAGCTTAGAAAATGGAAACAAAAACCCCACATACATTTCTTATTCTTACGCTGCATTAAAAGTAATATGTAAACTATTTATAATTTCTAAAAGTCAGTAATTTCACTTCAAATAGTCTGTGGTTAAAAAATATTGCTATATTTGAGATTAACATTTGAAAGAAAATAAATCCTGTAAGATCACTGATACATTTTAACTTACACAGCACTGTAGAATTTGAGAATTTTAGGAATTGGAGCAGAGTTTCTGCACGCCCCACCCCAATTCCTAAAATCGGAATAAAAGAAAGGTGTGTTAGATATTAATTGTACTGCTACACACCAACTGCCGTTCTACAACTGCTTGCACAATTTTTCTACCAGCATGTTCTCCAGGAGCCAAGGAAGGTTCCACAGTATAACACGGAGCTGCTCGCTCAATGACTCAAAGTCTGGCCGTCAGGAATACACACAACAATGTAAGAATTGGGAATGAGGAATCTCATGAGTCTTAATCAGCTGCAAGCAACTTGACACGTGCCCTTTTGCCTCTTTGGTCACATTTTTCCCATCAATAGGATGGGTATACTGTGAAGGCAAACTAGTTAACATCTGAAACAGGGAAAGGCTGTAAGCAGAAAGGCCCTTAAGTCCATCTCTCCACATGCTTCTTTGGACATTTACAAGTTTCCAGTGCTGTGGGAAGCAGTTGCATGCGCTACTTGGTGATGAATAGTCATCTACTACACAGAGAACCGGTGCCAGAGGGCCAAGACCCACAAGCCAAACCTTTTTGTCTCCTGTGTGTGTTCAATACACAGGTGGGAGGTGGCAGAAAAGCTCTGTAACTAGAGCAAAGAGAATATTGACTCCAGTAAGTAAAATATTTTCTGGATTACTAGTTGTAGAACATTAAGCAGAGCAAAGAGAATATCATTTCCCAAGAAGGCAAAGTTGTCAAAATCGCAGAATTTGACTGAGCTGTTTTTCAACCTGACATAAGCATATTCCATAGAATTCTGAAAATATCTTTTAAAATTCTGCTTCTCTTTGAAAGAGAAGAAAAGAGTATACCTTTGATCAAAGATATCCACCAGAAGCAATACCTTTTAAAATTATAAAGGTGTTGCTTTATCATTTTTATTAGCATTCAGACTACCGCTAGGAATTCTTTGGGAAAAGAGTTTTCTGTACCACTATGCCCTGCACATTTCTGACCTTCAATGTAAACGTAAGAAAAAAAAAGTTAATACAACAGGATTCTCAGCACTGGAGGACAGAATCACTCACAGTAACCTTGATGTTACAGAAATTAGCATTCCAGGAACTGGGAAGACTAAACAGAACTGGGCCAAATTAATTTAGTGGCTTCTGTCGTGGAGAGATGCACGTAAAGGACTCTACAAACTTCTGCTCCTCTCTGTGAACAGCACTCATGCTCTTGGAATGACACCAGGGCAACATTTGGTAGGAAGCCAGTTCTTACTAACCTTACCAATACAACATAAAACCTATCCGAAGGTGCAAGTCCATTTTAGACTGACAAAACTATTTTTGCCGGCTATCAGTAGCAAGGAAGCAGCATGCCAGCATGTTCTTTTCATCAAACCCTACTAACTACACAGGAAACAGATGGAATTTGCTGCACCAAGTTCATCCTCCTGTTTAAAATACAGAAGGACTATGAAAGAACCACTTACCTGGAACCTCTGAACCAACTCCAGTGACTGGCTGTCATTCTGGTCTGCTTCAAGGATGACATCTGTCAGTTTATGTATGATCACATCCAAAGGACCCTGATCTTCAATGGGTTTGGTGAGGTCAAGCTGCAGAAACCAGACAGAAACCTTTTATTAATACATGGAGGATCTGAGGTTCTCGTCCTTGACAACATCCAAGGTGTTGCTGCCACACAGGAGGCACTGACGTTACACACTGCCTTTATTTTGGTATGCTACCCAAATCCCCGAGAATCTGTATTTCACTGAATGCCAGAAAATTTTACTCAAGACATTTATTTCTCAGCATTGTAGATCTAATTCCATGAAAAAGCAGTTTAGTCATTGGCAAGCACCCTTCATCCAAACACCTTCCTGTGCTTCTCCACCCTGAGCCAACATTTCCCTCTTCAGCTCTCTTTCTGGGTACTTACACATACATAGAAGAGGAATGAGCCAACAAAGATTATCACCACTAATAAAAGGAACACCTGCTCTGCCCTTCACCCTTTGGGATTGCACCAGCCAGCACCCAGGACAGTAATACAGGGAACAAAAAGCAAGTGACTCAGGATCTTTGCAAATTCATCTGCTGCAGGGACAGCTACTTAGTTGATAAGGTGGAGAACAGGTCTCGGAGCACTCCCACTAGCAGACTTTGGCAATTAGGTGGATAGGGGACAAAGGTTTGGGGTGGGGCATGCAGAAACTCTGCTCCAGACATGGGAAGGCACAAAAGTGGTGGCGATGTGTCACAGGGCTTGGTCCCCAGTACCAAGGCAGGGTTCAAGGAGCAGAGGAACCACCTGCACTGGAAAAGGATTGAGTTAGGGAACTCCTGAGGAAATCTTAATGCAGAGGCAGCTACTGGACCTGATGGGATGCATGCAAGGGTGCTAAGAGAACTGGCCAATGTCACTGTGAGGGCTTAAATTTATCAGGACATAGATCAAAACTGTGAAGATTCCAACTAAATCAGGAAAAAAAAAAAAAAATCCACCATGAGGACAGTCTGGTTGCAGCACAGAGTCCCACAGAGGCTTTAGGATCTCCATCCTTCAAGGTTTTCATGACCTGACTGGACAAATCCCTAAGCAACTTAGTCTGAATTTAATGCTGAATCTGCTTCGGTCAAGATGATGTATCACAGACTCTTAAGGTCTCTCCCAAACTTAATGATCCCAGGATGCTACTTACTAGATTTGAACATTTGCACAATATAAATACCAGAGCTGGCTCATGTTCTAGCCAACACACTGGGCTGCCCACAGCACAAAAGCTGTCATATTATCAAGCACTGCTCTTCAGGCAATTATGAGATCTACTGCATCAGTGGCAACTTAACCTTGCAACCTTCAAACCAGGAACATCTTTGAAATGAAACACAGATGTGTGCTCTCTGAAGTTAGCATCTGGTTTTACAGTTACATGTATGCTCCTTTCCATGGCTGCTATCCCTTTTATTCAACTCTGGCAGAGAAAGGGGTGGGAGGCACAAGAAGGAGAGGAAGGCTGGGCAGAAGAGGCTGCTGATGCTCTGTTTCGATAGAAGCCTGGGCTTCACTGACCCGCTAGCTTGAGTTTTGTCCTAATAAAACTTCCCACTGTACAGAAATGCCCCTGCTTTGAATTAAGGAGTGCCTTAAGGAAGGTAACAATAAGGATGGCTGGAGCTCAAGCACCAACAGAACTAAACCAGAGATCTAGCAGCCTTATAATAATTTGCTAGTTGCTAATCTAACTGATCCATGGAGCTGAATTGCTTTTCTTGTGTGGGCACTCTTATCTGGGCTAGGCTTACTTGAGCAAAGTAGCTGAACTATTGCATAAAAGCGAGCCGAAAGACTGCCAGTTCTTCTCAACATAGACCACCTATGCTTGCCCATTACTATATGCTCCTACTGTGTTACAGGGTGAGGCTCCAGTATTATTTATGAAGTATTTATGTAGATTCTAATACAACTGGAAAACATACTGTGCATCTACCTTCTGAGGAGACTACCAGAGCACCGCAGACTCTCTACACACAAAGATCATGCAATGGTAAGGACAAAGAAAACAGACTTGATGTGGTTGCTCAGTGATCAGTAAGCTGTGGCTGGGTGAGGCAGTCTACAGAGAGCCTGGCTGTCCTGGCGCTTAGATTTTTCACTCCCACAAGCAGTACACCACAAAGGCTAAGGGCAAGTATGTTTGCAAAATAAAGGCAAAACAAGATGAACTGCAGCTTGGCTACGGGCATGGAAGGAGATGATCTACTTCTGCAACCAAGTTCCAGAAAAATCAGTTAATATCCTTAAAAGAAATCTCAGATGACCACACGGCTTTTCCTGAGGTTTTTTCATCTGCCCATCACATCTGGAAGGAAACAGCAAAACAAATGGTCTATTTAACTAGGTCAGAAAGTTCCCAGTTGCCAAGGTACAAAAATATGAATTAATTCATTTTCAAGGCTTACAGTTTGAAAAACAGAAGCAAATAAGTATTTGAGATTGGTTACCCCTCTACGTTGTTCCTGCACTTGCAGCTCAATTTGCACAGAAACATTCAGAAAAATAGTCATCTCTTTCAGCCTTGACCCAAAATAAAAATAAGCCTTCAAGGCATATCCAGTCATTTTCAGTACAGTGTTTTCCAGAGGCATAAGACATCTGGGCAAGATAACTTCTTCAAAACAGTTGTCCTGGCTAAAAGCAACTGGCATATTTTGAGAATGAAACCAAACGCACCTACTTTGCACATCAGAAAGTGTTAAAAAGGGTCCCCCCTTAACAGTGCTCGGCTTTCCCTTCACCAGGAAAGCAGTGCTAGAAATGACAGTATGCTAAGGCAGATCCTCTGGTAGGAAGTTCAATGACCACTTCAACTGACTCAAAGACAGCAGGTACTTTTCAACCACACAAACCTTCAAAATTTGATCCAGTATTTTGTGTATTGGAGGATCAAACCGTTTACAAGAATAAGTTCTCTGTGTTCTGGGCCATGCTGTGGAAAGCAAATATTCCTGGGTTGTGCGGAATTTGGAAGAGATCCACCTTCCTTTTATATACTAAGAAGAAGGGAAAAAAAAAAAAAAAAAAAAAAAGTAACAGTAGAAGAAAAAGAAGAAAAAAGAGGAAAAAAGAAGCCTTTTCAAGTGGAGTATTAGACCCAAGCAGAAGTCAGTGAAAGTAAAGTGCAAAATTTCTGATGGCCCTCTGGTGAGACAACACCACTGTTTGTCATCAGCTGGAATTTCAGCCCTCCTACTCCCCTCCTCTTTCAGCATCTCTCTCTCCAAAGATCACCCAAAGGTTTGTTTTTGCACAGAACTAACACCATAGCAACAGAAGTGAGAGAAAAGATTTATCAGCACCAGCTTGAAAAAAACACAGAGGTATGGCTATGGTGCCTCTTCTGTGAAGTAGGCTATAGTCTACTCTGCTTGTCCTTTTTTGTATTAAAAAATGAAACCAAAACAAACCAAAACAAATCCAAACCTACAAATAACCAGGTATTAGTTTCATTGTACTGCCATTTACCACCCAAACCCATCAAAACTCAGGTGAATGGAATGGAAGACAGTGTCAAAGCTGTACACAGAAAACGCCAGATACAAGGCATATGCCTTTCCAGGTCTTACAAATCTATATATGGAAGAAAACAACCACTAGATAAATGCTCTTATCGTAGCTGGCTGTATCTAGCCTGGACACCTTCTAATAGAAAGACTGGCTGGGAGTTTAAAAAAAGCTCCAAGCTTCGAAACATCTTAGTCCCCTGCACAGGCTCCCCAGAGCATCCACTGGAGAACAAGTTACAGGCACACAGAGCTCCATTTCTGCCTTACTCTCCCCCTCTCCATTCCTCTGTCCTCCAGAAACACGCTGCCAGAGCATTATCCAAATCACTACACAGGAGGGCAAAAAAAAAGTTTATTTCCATTAAGCATAATTTGTTTAAAATGCTGGGGTTGTTTTTCTCCAGAACGTTGGCAATCCATCTACATTGCAGGGACATGGTGAGCGCCTGGCAGGGTGCCGCAGCTCTCCGCTGGTCCCAACTGCAATCCCACCCGCATGCGTTTCTGGCAGCTGTGTTTAAAAATAAAACTATGTCCAAGAGAAAAAAGTCCAGATTCGTTCACTCATAAAAATGCACCAAACAACTGCAAATGTTGGATTTAGCAAAAAGAAATGTCATTTATCTAAATGATTAAAAATAATTTTGTATTTTTTTTTTTTTTATTCAGTGTTTCCAGTCCATGCTATAATCAACTGTATTTCAGAATCTGGCTGAGCAGGATTTGTGGGTTTTTTAAAAGCTCTTCTTCAGAAATAGTTTTTGGATTATCACTCATGAAATGCAGTCTTACTACCAACCTATTCTGTTCTCTGAGGACAGATCTGTCCACTGCTATATCCCTGAGGAGTTTACAATACATCTCTCCATTTCTATTTATCCTCACTTTTCTCTCAAAATATTTTAATTAAAAGGAAAAAAAAAGACTCATAAATCTATTGCTTCAGCATTTTGCTCTCAGTCTCCAATCGGCTAACAAACTCTACTCACCAGGATGCTGCCCTATGTTCTCATTATGTTTCAGTTTTAATTTGATGTGCTGCTTAAGAACAGCAGAATAGGAGTCTGTCACTCCACAGCAGACCGTCCTGCTGCAGGTGGAAAAAACTCATGAAACTTTCCCCCAAAGGAGGTGAATGAAGATAAGGAGAAAATCATCGGAGATGACAGATTTGTTCTGAGCCTTCTTACAAGGCAGATACCACCAAATCATCAGACATTATCTCAAGTGGTAGAAAGCTTAATAAAATGCCACAAAAGGGAAAGAATCCATGCAGTTTTCTGGTGGGGACTTGTCAGTGCTCTGCGAAACATTTCACAAATCAGTCTAAAAGTCCCTTTGTGGTAATTTAACCATTTTCCTCCCTGTGATCTGAACATACATCACCAGCCTGACCTGACCTCTCTGCTCCCTGACTCCTGAGGCTGTATATGGATTTTTCTACACAAACCTAACGTTACTCAGATACTCAGTTAAGTCTGCACCGACCCCAGAACATGCAGGGTTTCTTTCAATCTTAATTCAGTTTCTAAAACTCCACTGCATG